AAAAAAAAAAAAAAAAAAAAAAAAAAAAAAAAAAAAGTGGAGTAAGGAGTTTAGTTTTTACACTCTAAAGGGTTGAAATTCATTTGATTGCGTAAATAGCTTAAGAATGTGATTCTCTAACTTCGGTCATGTTGACATAATTATTGGAAGAGGATTTTAAGAACAAAACTTAACCTCGGTTGTTCAATTTTTCTGTTATTTTTTAATTAGAATTAGAATTTATCTTTATAAAATTCTAACTTTAATTATATACCCAAAAAAAAAACATCAAACCAACATGTGTATTATGTTATTTCATATCGATTTACATTAGGAATGAAATAATCGATCCATAATCTTATTAAAAAAAATTAAAAAAGTTGATGATTAATTAAGAAAGATCACGTTATCGTAAATACAAATTAATTTTAGATTGTCAATTTTAAAATATTATATGAATCAGACTCATAAAATAAAATAAAAATAAAAATATCTAAATAATATAGCACACAAACTTAAAATTTCCTAAAAACTACAAAAAATAATTCTCACCACTAAGTGATTTAGAATGTTTATCTAAACATAGGTTCATTAACAAAAGTATATAAATTAACACCTACCTTGAGTTATAAAAAAAAAAAAAAAAAAAACAAAACAAAACAAACTTACGAGGATAGTAGGTTTGTTTACACAAATTTCAGCCAAGGATTCATCAAATCCAGTCAATTTACCCCTTGATTGATGTTAAAATTCACAAGTCTCACTGTTATTTCAGCTCCTAATAATTGGATTTGTTGATCAATCATTGTCTGTTTGATGATAAATCCAATGGTCAATAATACAGAACGTGCCAGAAATGAAGGCAACATAGACCTCCTTTAGGTGCCTCTTCTTTACTTATAATACATTTTCCATTTTTGGTGAAAAGTCTTCATTGCAATGCTCTCTTCAACGTACGTGATATTTTTGTAATGGAAACCAGAGCTTGTTAAAAACATAACACAAAATTGCAAGTTAATAAAATCAATCTAGGAAGGAATATTAAGTGAAGTGCTTGCTTTGCTTGAAGGAAAAAAAAACAAAAAAAACTAGGTTGAGGCTCACATGAAGCCCATTGCTGATAAACGTGACCGGCAACATTAATTTTGTTGTTGAATCTTGGGTTTGTGTTAAGTTCCTCCTCACTCCTTCGATAATAATCCTTTGATTTCAACTTTGATGTCTTGGATTTCCAAACCACGTTTGTGCATTGAGCTAAGGTCCATTTACAACCTTGAGGTTAAGGTGGTTGTTAATGGAGAATTCTTGTTATAAGCTAGCCCCAACTGAATACATCACCGTGGCCTGAGGCCCAACCTTTTGGGAATGTGAGGTCAAGAGGGCTATGAAAAAAAGTGAAGGGATTATATATGTTTAATGGAGATATTGTTATCACTTATTTTGTCGGCTTTTTATATAAGGGAATTTTACATGAGGGAGTACTAAATACTCCATTCGTAAATAGTGAGTAAATTATAACATAACTTAAAATTCTTTCTCATTTATATATTATTCAATATGTTTAACTTTAATAAATATAAAATTTTATTTCATATTTAAACTCCAATAGTTTTAGGGAGCTCACAATACTTATATCTTAAGTGAATTTTAAACTTAAGATAATATATCTTAAATTTTAATCTCATCAAAAACAATCTAGGTAACATCATGAGTTGTTTAATTTTAAGAATGGTTTGCTTAATATAATATTATGTATGTATGTGTATGTATATATATTGTGTATATATATTAAGTAACTTTTTTGGGATTATTAAATTCGATATCTTCATGGCCTGTATTAAATTTTAATAATTTAATCTTTAAATTAAAAGTTTTTATTAAATAAACTAAGTTTACAAAAAATTTTAACTTATATTATATATTGAGAAATTCTTATTTTATAATATATATATATATATATATATATATATTAATGATAAGTTATGTTACTATTAATAATTGAATGGTAGATAATATTATGTTCGCATGTTATGTTCAGATAAACTTTTTCTAATAAGCTTGTACTATAAATATTTTTTATCAGAGACAATCCTTATTCAAATCAAGTAAGATCACTTTGAATGATAAGGTTCTTCCTCCAAATATTTAATATTGTTATTAACTTATTTTAGTTAATTGATCCATGCGTTATGTAATAACCATGTCTAGATTAACTTATTTTAGTTCTTATTTGACTCAACATTTTAATAATTTTTTAATTTAAATTCAAACTCAACCTAATAAAGACTAATTGATGTATGGGACAAAATTAAATTGACTCTAATTATAGATCGACATAATATAAATTTTAACATTATGTATAATTAAAAATCATAAAATTAAAAAACATATGTATATTTTTTTTCAAAATAAAGAATATGATTTTAAATATTGTATTATGTTATGCAAAATATATTTTATCCGTCAAGTCAAAAAAATTAGTATAAATATTAATTCAAAATTATTTTTTAAAAAAAAAAGTATAAATTTTAAAAAGTTACAAGACATTGAATCAGTTAGTTATGATGACTCAAATTTAACATGAACTTATTCTTAAAATACACTTGGTTTAATTTTTAAAATCAAAATTAGATAAAATTAACTTTGGATTAGAATGGGTTAGTAAAATGGAACGAGTGATCAATATCCTCTCACGTGAGTTTGAAGAACTTAGTTTAATAATTAAAAATTATAAACAAAAATAATAATTTTAAGTAGTTAAAATAATAGAAATATTTTAAAGGGAAATAAAACGTGTTGTTATATCTAATAATAATAATAATAATAAATAGGAGTGACCCCATTGGAAACACGATGAAGGAGAAGGACGGAAACAGATAGTTTGAATTTGGATGTGAATGGCAAGTGTGAAACTGAAACATAACGTGCCTTCCAGCTAATTCCTCATCACATCTCTCTCTATACTCTCTTTGTTCCTGTAAAAACCATATATATCTCTTCTTATATTTAACCTAATGTCCATCTGAAGTAACACTAAGAAGAAGAAAAAAATAAACATATCAATATTTTTTTGGATGGGAAATTTGTCATTGAAAAAATTTTATTTTATAAGAATTTATCTTTTCAAAGACCACATAATTATAGGGAAGGGGGATGGATAGTGTTGTTTCTTCTTCTTCTTCTTCTTCTTCTTCTTCTTTTGTTTAACTAGATATATATATAAAAGAGAAATGAACAATATTAGAATTATTATAATTTGGATTTAAACTTTCTTTTTGGTGCAAGTTTAAAGATAAAGCTTAGATAGAATCGCAACGGTGACTTCACAGAGGAAAAAGATTGAGGAACCATATAAAGCAGCAGCACTACTACTTGCCAGTAATGTTGTACAATGTTGATGATGACATATATTTCCTTCTTCAAAAAGCATTATTAATCTAGTACAATGTTCGTTACGCTCATGAAAAATGCTAATTTAAGCACAAAGTCTCACGTAGGAGAATTTTATTATTTAACTAAAATATTAACTGCAAGTGAATATGGTGTTAGTCAACAATTCTCAGAAACTTAATTGGCCCATGAATCCACTCAGAATCATTGGTGTCGGAAACTTGAGCTGCCACTCTCATTTCATGGACTCAATAATTATATCCTAGGCAAGCATATGATGAATCTTGTGTTGCACATGATTCCTTATCGTTTAGGTTAACTAAAACAATTATTCATTGATTACCATAATAATATATCAACCAAAGAAAAACGTAATATAATATTTCCGCATAAGAAAAAGAAAAAAATGATAAGATGAGTAAAACCAAAAATAAAAATAATAAGGTGTTATAAAAAAAAACTAAATTGCTATGAATAATATAGTTTTTCGTCATTTATCTTTGTTATCTACACGCTTTATTTTTTTAGGAGGTTTTGAGAGAAAATAATTGTAAACAAAATATATTAATTTTTAAAAATAAGTAACCATGTTGGATTTTTTTATTACAGTTTTAAAAATTATAAAATATGTAGTGTGAATTTAAAGATATAAGAGTCTAATGAAAAAGTAGTTACAAAAACGTATCCTTTTATCATAAATTGATAGATATATTAATGGTGGAAAAGAGATATTATATGTCTTAAATGTATTTTATTTTAAAAAATAAAATGTATAAATAGTAGTTAAGTGCATAAATAATTTGACAATAGTTATAGTGGAAAACAATAATCCGTTTGTAAATGAGTTTTGTAGATAAATCCACGAATTTAGGAACCGTTGCAAATTTGTAATTAAATCTGCATCAAGTAATGCATGCATATCCTTATCGTTAACTGTTTCATTCAAATTATTAAAAGTTTTTATCTTTGTTTTTTTTTTTTTTCCCAGTAATAAAGATAAAGTTTCGTTAACCGGAAAACGCTCGTGGATGACGCTCCCACATTGAGCAGGCCGAGATAAGGAAAAATATAATAAAAATGAAGCAAACAACGTTTATTAATTATTAATTCAGCCTCGGTAACAAGTATTCTATAAAAAAAAAAAAATCACCAAAGAATTAATAAAAAAAAATTTTATAATAAATTATAATAAAAATACATCAAAAGTTAATACATCAAAAGTTAATAGAATAATATATTAATAACACTCTTCTCAAGAAAAATAATTTTAATTTTTTATTAATATATCTTATAATTATACTATTAATACAATTAACTATGCTAATTTTGACTGGTTACGATTTTAATTACATTTTTTTTCTATTCACAAAAATAAATTTAGATGAAGAGCAAGTAGAGCAATAATCGAACTAAAGACTTATTGGATAATTAATGTAGAAAAGAAAAGAAACATTTGCAACAAAATTAGGTGAGAAGTAGAATTGGTTGTGGAGAACAGTGAAAACCATTGAATTCAACTAACTCTCCGGAATTAGAATCAAATTCCTCCCCTCTCCCCTACGATTCTTTATGACTCTCCAATAGTCACCATATTCATCATTACTATCAATATCAACACCTTCACAATGTGCCCTTTACCCAACAACTATTGCCCATCACAAACTAAATAAATGGAAACGAATGAATAATAAAACTTGCTTTCATATCTTTTTATTCTTTCATACTAACCAAAATCAAGAGGCTACGTACAATTACAAATTACAAATTGTCAACAACTTCCACATCAACAACCTACATTACAGTACCACTAAGTACAAGTTCAGGGGCAAAATGGGAAATAACCACTCACTGGCCTTGTAACCCACCTCACTTCCTCTGCCAACTTCAAGATCTGCCAATTTTTTTAACTTATTCCCACAATTTTCCTTCTTTTTTTTTCTCTATTAAAGCAACGCCATAAAAAGTGGTAGCAACGAAATTACACACACCAACGACCCTTTCACCGGCGGAGGAGCCGCCGTGGACGGCGGCGGCGGCGGGCACACCAACGCCCCTTTCCCCGGCGGAGGAGCCGCCGTGGACGGCGGCGGCGGCGGGCTGTAATAGTAAAACGGAAAATAAGGCACAATTGGGTTCGGCGGCGGCGGCGTTGGGTAGTACTTATTCGGCGGAGGGTAATACCCGCCGCCGGTTCCTCCGGGACGTCGGCGGCGGCGGCGAGGAGTAGGTGTACTGAGCGGGTGGGGGCGGGGAGGAGTAGTAAGTACCGCCGCCGCCGGAGCTGGGAGGAGACGGCGGCGGAGGGCAAGAGGTGGTGGTGGGAGGGGCCGGAGGCGGCGGAGATGGCGGCGGCGGGGAGGGAACTTGGCCGCAGGGTGTGCATTTGATGTCATCCTTGGAGGAATTTTGAAGGCTTTGATCTGCCATTGTTGTTGCAAGGGCAGTGAGAGAGATCAACACGATGAAACAACAACACAACCTGGTTCCCATTTTCTGCGGATCCAAGAAATGAGGTTTTTTGTTTCTTAGAAGAAGAAAAAAATGAGTGGAAAGTGTGTAGAGAAAGGAAAGTGAAGAGAAGAGTGTTGTGTTGCTATTTGAGGTGTAAGTGATGTTATGGTGTGGTTGGAATAGGGTACTCTCTTCTTGTCTTTTCATTTTGCGTTAGGCCTTTTTATTGATGCGCCCCATGATTTATTTTTTAATTATATTTTAACAAAATAAATAAAGGAAGAAAAAGAAAGGGAAAAGGGAATAATAACAGAAGAAAAAGAGAGAGAGAAAACAATGGTGCACACTGCACACCGACACGTTTTTTACTTTAACAGAAAGCAGCCATGTTTGAACACGGTTAAGGAAACCAAGTGTTGGTTAATTTAACTGTCAAGCATAGTTAGGTTAAGTAATACACTTGTGTTTCACTTTTTTACTTTACATCTTCGGTGTTGTGCTTCCTTTTTGGTTAAACAAGGTTTAAAATATGGTGTGCTTATAGTTATACTAGGGTAGGAGGATGTAACAAAGTGTTGAATGGTCCTAAAGAGACGTAAAGGAGACGCAAGAAGTGATTGAGAGGTGTAGTTGGAAGTGCGTTGGATAAACAATTACAATTTGCTTCTTCTGTCTCTTTGTGACTATATGTGTTTCATAATTTCATTCAATCAAAATATGAAAATATAGAGTATATTTTGCCTCTTGTCACCTTCCCCGCCCGCCACATACACAATTTATTACATTTGGTTGAGCCTTTGAATAACAAATGTCCTCTTGTGGCGTCATGTTAATGTAATTTGAAAATGATACTAACGGTAATTTGTTGATAAATTAATCTGGCACACAATAATGATATGACTTTGAGTGCAATGCAAATTTGTGGCGACTATTAATACTTTTACGCTTTTCTACAATCAAAATACTAAAAGTACAAGGAAACACTTTTCAATTATAATTTTTTTCTAATGTGTTTGGATCAACACGGTCTAAATTATTATTTAGTTGGTTTTCAAACGGTGATATGTGAATGGCTTGAAAATCATAATGGCCATGGAACCATTGATCCAAGGATGAATTGAAAGCAACAAAGGGAAAGCACCCCTACACGAAAATCACTGATC